CCCCAAAACCCCAAAACCCCAAAACCCCAAAACCCCATAAGTTTGGAGATTACTTGAAAATCCTATAACAATATTTAAAATGTCTGAAGAAAAGAAGACAATTACCTACGCCAACGGAACTGTGCTTACTAAGAAGAAGAAAGGCAACAGAGAAACATGGACACTGAACAACAAGTCATTAGCCACTATTAACTTCACAATGGACTTGGCCAAGTGCGAGAATGTTCAGTTTGAGAAGGAGAAAGATAGAGATAAGATTGTTAAGAAGGTTAAAGTGGCATATGGAGAGGAACGGAAGTTGTTTACTCTAGTTAAGACTCCTCCCTTTAAGATGGAGCCAAAGTTTAAGAAGAAGGAAACACCTATCTCTGTTGAAGAGCAGAGGGAGATAATGAAGGAAGAGGTCCAGGCATTAGAGGAGGAGTGCAAATTGATCGACCATGAGATGATGAAGATGCCATTTGAGGTCATGGAGTTGGACGATCTTAGAAAAGCCGTCAGGGACAAGGGATTTGATCATTTCATTGACTCTCATTTCCCACCGAATGATACTAGTATATATAACAGTATCAAACAGGGATATCCATACAAAAAGATAGTTCATTGGAGACGGCCAAAAGACTTCATGAAGGGGGAACCAAAAGTTTTCAGTGATAGTATCGACCCTAACGATATCAAGCAAGGTTTCTTAGGTAACTGTTGGTTCCTATGTGCTACTGCTAGCTTAGCTGAACGCCCAGCGCTTGTGAAAAGGATTTTTATCACTAAAGAATATAACGAAGAAGGGATCTACAGGCTCAGAATTTGTAAGAACGGGGAGTGGGTACTTGTAACTGTAGACGACTATATCCCATGCTATTACAATGCAGGTCCAATGTTTGCTCATTCCAATGGGGATGAATTGTGGGTACTCCTCTTAGAAAAGGCATATGCTAAGCTTCATGGAAATTACATTGCCTTAAAATCTGGTTTTAGTTATCATGCAATGATTGATCTGAGCGGGTGCCCTGCCGAGCATATCAAATTCTCTAAAGAAAGAGAGCCTTATGAGGATGTCGAAGAAGAGGCAGAAGATATTTTTGAGAAGTTACTTGAAGCAGATGAGCAAGGATACTTAATTTCGGCATCTACTCCAGGAAAGGACAAGCTAACAACTGGAGAGGGTCCTAAACCTAAGGCTGGACTTGTTCCTGGGCATGCTTACAGTGTTATCCAGGTAAAACATCATGAAGAAGAGGACATCAAACTTATCAATGTCAGAAACCCATGGGGAAAATTCGAATGGGACGGAGCCTGGTCAGACGAGAGCGAAGAATGGACTGAAGAAATGATCGAATTCTTCGAACCAGTTTTCGATGCGAAGGATGGATCATTTTGGATGTCATTAGAAGATTTTTACCCAAGATTCAAATCGATCACTTTCTGTGAGGTTGAAAACTGGAATGAGCTTAGACTCAGAGGAAAATTCTTAAAGGTGCAGCAGAAGGATAGTCCGGATCTTGATTATGTTCTCTCTAAGTTTTATTACACATTTGATGTTGAAGAAGATGAAACAGAAGTTATTATAGGAATTCATCAGGAGGATAAAAGAAGCCTTGGATCCCACTTAAGACCTTACCTCGACACAAGCTTCATTGTCCTCAAAAGAGGCGAGGAAGATGAAGATAACCTTGAATACTACTCCCATGCAGAATTCTCCAGAGACAGGGAAAACTTCAAAAGAATCGAGTTCGAAGAAGGTTCCTACATTGTAATACCATACACTTCAGGAGCTTTATTACAAAAGATGGAGGAGACAAAGGAAGAATCTAAAAGTTCTAAGAAGAGTAAGAAGGACAAAAAATCCAAAAAGGATAAAAAGGAAAAGACGAACTTTAACCTGTTAAAAGTGATAACTGGCAAGCAGCTAGAGATTCAGCTCTACTATATGTCTACAATTTTTGATGTGTTCAGGAAGATAGACCTGACCGCAAATGGGATTCTCTCTGCCAAAGAGCTCAACCAATTCGGGTATATTGTAGACAATCAGAAATTTAAGGATATCAAACAAGTAGACTTTGAATCTCGGGAATTTGAAGACATCAGTTGCACTACTGAAGGACTTACCAGATATGGCTTCTGGCAATACATTTCTACTAACCTCACGAGAGATGAAATATCTGATATGCTAAAGAGACTAGGGTATGATCCTGAGCTCAGAAGTTTAAAGTCAAGAGTGTTTGTAATTACCTTCCACTCAAGCGAGCCACTCTCAGTCAAAATCAATGATATCCTTGAAGGGAATATGCATTTGACTGCTTCAACAATTTTTATGAACCACTTTACTGAAGATGAAGATGAAAACCTCGAAATTGATGAGGAATCGAATGAAAATGTTCAGATCATGAAGTATACTGATAAGTAAGTTCAACTTTGAAACTTTATAGAGGTGCAAAAGTGACGTTCTTTGCAGCCTTGAACGAATCCGGAGCCAGGTATATTTCTATAACAACCCTATAGACATCTCGTTAAACTTGACTTAAACAGTTCTAGTAACCACTACTTCTCTCCTAATAGTGGAGTCTTTATGAGAAAAGTCAATGACGGCCGTTTCGAGTACCTTGGAGCAGCTGCTGCCAACAAGGATCAAAAGAAGAGAAAAATAAGGTATGCCCAATGCTTTAATCCTGACTATTATTTCTATTTCTGTGCACCAATGTAGTCTCTTCTTCATTGACACGTTATTAGGTACAGTTTATTCCAATTTTTTAGGTATAGCTTAGCCTTAGCTGAGTTTAAAAATTGGCGGCAATCACTAGCTTGTCACAGCCCTCTTGGAATATCAGTATTAACTGACTAGAGAGCCAAGACGGTTATGGTATCATCCAGGGTTTATAAAGTCCAAATCTTCTCTTTTAAGTACTGGGTCTCACATTTCAAATATATTTTCTGGTCTGTATTCATGGCAGTCTATAAACACCTTTAATTATCTAGGTATGAGACAACAGCAGAAGAAATTTCAGACTCAGAACCGGAAGAAGCCTCAAGCGAAGGAGAAAGCGAAAGTGAATCAGAAGGAGAATTTAGCGAAGAATCCTCTGAAGATGAAAATACTATCACTGATGAAGCTGAAGGGGATGATGAAGAAGCTGAAGGTGAGGGAGATGAAGCAGAAGGAGAAGATAGGTATGATTAACAAAGGAATTTTAGTGATGAAGGAGAAGAGAGTGAAGAAGAGTCAGATCAAGAAGAAGAGAAAGAGGAGGAAATTAAGACTAAGAAGTCAATGAGAAAGAGCAAAACGTACGTATAGGAAGTGGAGGAAGGGGTTGAGGAGGTGGGGAAGAGGGTTGGAAGGAATTTATTTTTCGAACTTAGAGTAATGGATTTTAAGAGTTGAGAGTTTTCAAGAATAAAATCTACATAAACTATGCCAAAAGAATTTTTGTTGCTCTAAATTCTCTTAAAACCAGCTTTCCATTAGCACCTCTTAAACCACACATCACTTCAATTTCTCTCACAAAAGCTTATTTCCCCCAAAACTCATCCATTCTCCCTCTAAAAGCTTCATCTGTGCCTATTCGTTCTCTCTTCTTTCTAAAATAGCCTTTTCTCTAAGCCAGATTTCTTAGTTATAGATTTACCTAGTTCATAAATCACACAAAGTTTTTTAAATTTCAAAAAATCTTAGTTAATAACACCTAATTCCTGAATGCCTTCCCTTACCTGGTAGAGCAGCCTGCCTTGGCATGATCTAGCAAAGTTCAAATAAGTCTGTTGCTAAGACCAAGCTTGAGCTCAGACATTTTCAATAATCATTCAATTCTGACCACTTTTTAGGTTTGACCAGAAGCCCAAAAACGAAGAAAAATTCGGCGGAAGACGCATTAAAAAGTCTGAAAGCATGCAACAAGGTAAGTACTACGTCCTTTTGATAAGAAAGATCCTCCTTTGTGGTTCATCTTCATCCTGTTCGTATAGATGGCAAGAGCAAGAAAATGAGCAAGAAGAAGACAAGTAAGGCCTGAATGTTAATAGAATAGAATCAAAGAAGGATATGGAAACAATTAAGGAGGAAGGGAGCGAATCCTTATCTAGATAATTGAATAAATTTCAACCTCAGCTACTTCCTGGGGTTTTGGGGTTTTGGGGTTTTGGGGTTTTGGGG